AATACTAAATACCTTGGTTAGTGTAAATATAGAATCAAAGTAAAGTAAGTCTTGTGTAAATGTTAAGATACACCAGTAAATTATACGTGACAGTGGCCAACTCGAAAGCTATGCTACTTTGGTCACTGTGCGCATTTTACTTTTGATTATTGATGTAATTTACTGTTTCTTTTTATTATTGATGTAATTTATTGTATTCTGACTTTTATAATCTGTAGTAACCTCTTGAAATAGTGCGAATAAAGAGTTTCATGAATCAAACATTAAAGTCTTGACTAATTAATGTCTTGACTGCCTCCGTACTTGTGGCAAATAACTGCTTAGCAATATGATAATCACTGGTTAGCTTGGTTGAAACTGAACTGAAAAACTGAACAACTAGATTACACATCTTAAATTAAGTATTTTTTGTGACAAACATTGAGATAATTATTGCATTAGATGAATTTAAACATAGCACACACACAACAGTAAACAAAAACTGAGCATGCACTAAAACTTAACAATTTATTCTATTAAAATGAATATTCAATGAAACATAGGTCACAAGAATAAAGGAAATGATCACCAACTAAAGAAGTTCTCAATTGATACACAAACTCTCCTTTCCAGCATATTAGGAAAAGTATAGAGAACAGTATGGAGAATATGCAGCCTGATGTTAGGCTGTAATGGCTTACGGTACTTTTCTCAAATTACAGTTCAGTTACTTGGTAAATTTGATTTGATAATTAACTGCTGTTGATCTAAAGTCCCACACCATGATCCCCTTGTCTGTCAAATTCCGTCTGACAACCTCAGCAGCAGAAATAAATTCTTCTGCCCCTGGTAGAAAATGTAATTTCTGACGTTTGAGTGACATGGGAACGAATTAGTCAGAAATTAATATTCTGACAGCACGTTGAAGAGGTTCGCGTTGCATCACGGTAATTTCAGATTATTTAGGCATTTCGCGGGAAATTAAGTCATTCTAGGTCGGTCAGTCTTAGGTTTGACCACTTTCTTTTTTCTTATTTAATGTAATTTTGTTTTACAACTCTGTAAAATATCACTACTTTCATTGAATTTTCTGTGTGATTAGTAGTAGATTTAGATTTATTTTAATTATCTTTTCCTCAGCGTACAGTGTTGCTGCATTAGATGAGGAATACATTTTCACATACTTTTTGGCCACTTCTAAAGAGTGGTTTTTTGGTGGTTTTTCGTATCTGGCGTAGCACAGGCTATGTTGTATAACCCTTTATTTTCAGTAAATACTTCCAGTACATTGTAGATTCTAGTAGTAGGATGCGTATAGTAAAAGGCTGGCTAACTCATCCTAAATAAACTTTCACATTGAATATCTCGCCTGAGTATAGTGAGAATTGCCATATCCTGTACTTGACCAAATAGAGTTGAGTATGTTGATGCAACCTATCGAAAAACAATTACATATTACCAATGAAAGTTCCAACCAAATATTATCCTAAAGTGGGTCAAGGACCAAAAATGATTTCCACCAAGTAGAGTGAACCTGTGTGGCTGGCATTTTTCTGTCACCTGACCACTGCCTTTGTGTCAAGCACTCAAAAAATCACCAGCTGTGCTAGAAAATATTAAGTAAAACAATGTACACTTTCTAACAGCTTTCATATCAGTTAATAGAAGTTAATCATTAATAACTGTAGTGGGGGTGCTGTCTTAGGCTCCATGGCACTAGCGACAAAGCAGCAAAAAATTAGCCTGCATCTAGGGGTCTGGAAAATAATAAACCAATCCATCAACTTTCACTATGATAGTACATTTTTTTTTAACAAACACAGAAAAATATACAGCACATCTTTACCTTGACTCTAATGTCAAAAGATTTTCTCAAAATAGAAAATTTCATTATCATTCTAACAAGAATTTGTTACATCAAGATTTTATGACATCAATCCAGTAACTGTGGTAACTGTGCACTTACACTTCCTGTCCTTCTGTCCCAACATAGGATGGAAGATTTAAAAGTTCCAGCTAAAAAAAGAGCTGGGTGACTAGGATGAAACTGGACACAGGTCACATAATTTTTGTGTGGAAACACTGATTTCCTGTCCTGTCAAAATAAAAAGTAGCATACATCAATACATTTTAAGCACCTAATTTCATCACAGACACATGATGCCTTGTAGCACTGGACCTGGAAATCTAGAATAAACACTAAATGAATTATCACTTGGCTCAAACAGCCAACACTGTCATTTCACAATCAAACTGAGAAAAAAAACTCTTGAACTACACAATGAACAGGGGCAAGAAGGGCTCCAGCCTTTCCAAGCAAATATTTGATGGGGTTCTCAGCCCCCCTATGTTTCAGGGCCCACAATATTGCTGGCAAGGCAGAAAATTAATTTGCCAAAATATTCAGTCTTAAAATCTTTATAAATCTTTTCATCAGGATCATCCTTGGCAAAATTGTATATGCAAGGACATTTCCCATTTGAACAACATCAGCCTGCATACAAGAACCATATATTGAAAGTTTATTGTATAATTTGAGTTTTGTACTTGGCTTAGTATACAAGACAAATTCCCCTCCCCCAAATAACACACTCCCAGTTCCAAGTGCTGCACCACCATGCCACTGACTATATAACATTAAATCAAGATAATTAATACTCTCCATCTAAGTTGTATTTCCCTCACCTCATCACCTTTGCCTTGCTTAATGTTTTCATAATGTAGAGAGAAATTAGACACTATAACTTTATACAGCCACAATGTTTCAAATACCTGTTTCTACATCAAAGAGTCTTGCAGTTTTGTCATAACCACAACTCAACACTTGTGGCCCACAATATAATGACTCCATTTAGCATCTTTCACTGCTTCAGTATGATTTGTCAAACTTTGCATACAAGTTCCACCTTGACGTGTGTCCCAAATGCAAACTGTATGATCCATAGATGCAGACAACAGCAAATGATGATTACTTTCTGTAACATTCCATCTGATACAGTTTACACCCTGTGTATGACCGTTAAGATTTAAATGCAATTTCTTTGATGGCTTGTATACTTTGATCTGTGTTCCTACGTACGGTTTGAAAATTCATTGTTATCTGGGTGATAATCTGTTCCTTTCAATGAGCCATTTGTCAAGCTTAAATCAGTCTCTTGTGACGGGTGTTACTAAAACGAAGACCCTCGAAAACGAAGACCTAAGACCTAAGACCTGGTCTTCGATTTCGTAGTACGAAAACGAAGACCCTGTAAAACAGAAAACCGTAGAAATTACAAGTTAAACGCACATCAAAAAGTAACAACGCTTAGTAATATAATACATTACACTTCACGCGTTTCTTCCTATTATTATACTGCCCGTATTATTATACTTCCCGTATTATTATATGGCCCGTCCTGTCAGTGTTCTATTTCGCTATGCGAGCCAGTTTGGTGTTGATATTCTCGATGGTCTCCTCGGGTAAACTTACCACAGATATTATTAATCTGGAACAGCAGGCAGAATTCCAACGCCAGCCGCCTTTGATTTATAGTTAGCATTGCGTGACAGATTAACAGAGAACGCGTTCTGTACAGGAAAAATGACTCTTAGGTTCTGCCAATAAATAATCGATTTCTACTGTATTTCTTAGCTAAAATAGATTCTGACGGTCGTTAAGCTTTCTCTGCTGGAAAATTCTCGTTAAAAAGTAAACAATTCTTTCTGCTAATGCAGGGTCTTCGTTTTCGTACTTCACTGTTCTCTAACTTAAATGTTGAAAAGGCTCAGGATTGTTTAGGACGCAATTTTGTTAACTAACGGTTAGTAAACTGTGTTTAATAATGAGATCTAAATGTCTGCATGACATTCTCAAAACGATACAAAGAGCATGAAGCGTGGGAGTTGTAGCGTTATGCGGTTCTCCATGCTAAAAGAATGTCTAAGTTTCGCTCCGACGAAGGGCTAACGCTCGAAACGTCAGCTTTTATAATCGTAACGGTGGCCAATTTACCATTTCAACTTTGTTGATATATTCAAAATATTTCACTACCCCCACCGCGTGTTCCTTTTTGTTTTGTGTCTATCAACTTAATGGTGTATTCCGTTTTGCGGTTTTTTTTTAAAGATAATAAATCATTATCCCACTTAATAAGTTGGATGGCTATGATGTTTCTTCAAGCTTCAGTTGAGCTTTCAAACTGTGAATTATCGCACTCTTTTGTTTTTTCCTTTGTTCCTTTTTATTTTGTGTATACCTTACTGCAGTTTTGTTTGTCACGTATTGAAATAGAAAGCCAAGATTAAAACACAATTGAGCACCCACTGAATACAGAATAAACAATAATTGAACAAGAAACGAGCGTGTCTTCTAGTTGCTGGGATACAGTTTTTTTATCTAATATTTTATTAAAATACAGCTGAAAATCTGTTATTTGTCGGGTTAACTATAAATTAGAATGTACTGTTCAGGCAGCATACAAATAGTTCCATCTCTGCCAGCCGGTCTTTTTTAGAAGGAAATCATTTGGATAACCATGCTTCAAATTCACAAATTTTTTTTTTAAAGGGGGTAAGCCGGTTTCCAAAGAAACTGTGATGCTGCGTCAGCGAGAGTAACATGCAAGGTAATTTTGGATTTATCAACTGAGTTAGTAACGTAAATTTGCTACTGTAAAGAGTTTAAAAACACTCATCAGCCAAAGCCAAAGTCATCAGACTGAGGTCATCCGGTTTACATTGAAATAATTGCCATGAGGGCATGCAAAACCGTAGAAGTATCAAAGGTTAAAGCTGCTCACTTACTGAGACCAAACTGTTTTCTTTGTTTCCAGACTTTCTAGAGTATAATTTCTCTCCAGCAGAAAATCACTACAGAGATAGGTCTCTCAAAATCTTCATCTCTCTCCCTTAGGCACATTTTTAAACTCTGTACATTTTGATTAATCGTGGAGCGTGACGAATTTGTTTTTCGGAGGCGCAGGGAGTTTGAAG